CGTCGTCTGTGGGATTTGAACTCTAGACCTGCCACTTGGAGAGGGTGACGACTAGACCACTACACTAAGTCGCCACATCTCAACTGTGTAAATCTAATTACAATAGCGGCAATACATATTTTTAGCAATTATTTTTTATGAATTCATTACTAATAATATACCTATTATAAACATGATTCAATACGAATAAGAAATATCCTGTTGTTCATGCTATGCCTTACAACCAGCCTTGTTATATCCTGTGTTTTGGCATTGTTGACACTGAGTTGGTTTTCAAATTTTTTGTGCTTCTAAATGTTTAGTATTTGAATTGCTTTTATTTTCTAATTCACTAGAACTTTTGAAGCACTTTTTTCTTGGAGCTCCTCTTTTTGAATTCACAATCGGATTTTCAATTTTGATGAAATTTTCTTTGTCACTAGAACTTGAATTTGATAATTTATCTTCATTTTCCTGTTGACTTATATTCCTTTTGTGAGTCATTTTTTCTTTACCTTTTGGTTTGTATTTACTGATAAAACTATTCATACAATTTTCAAGTTCTTCTAATGTATTAGAACCAGCATCAAGCCCAATTTGAATAGCTTTTTTTGATAATTCATTAATTGTAGTATAGGCTTGGCGGTAGTTGACTTTAGCATGAACCTCACTAAAAAAAATATCTAGCAAACAAAAGGACAAATTGGGAAAATTTTGTTCAATATCAGTTGAAGTCATTATATTATCCAATCTAATAATAAAAGGTTGCTTATTTGTTTGTAATTCCAGTTCAATTTGTTTTTCATCAGAATACCATCTTTTCAATATAAGCATAATATGAAATGCAGCGTAATTAAACATAGCTATAATTTTAAAAAAGTGTCTACAAACAAAGCCATATTGAACTAAACTAAGGCATGTACATAAATGTGAATTATTTTTGAATAAAACAACATTATTCTTCGCTTTGCGTCTGTTTTCGTAACTTTCTAAATTTCACAAATTGATTTAACTTTTGTAGATGCTATTAATTCTTTAATTAAAATAGCAGACACATCTACACAATCTTCAATAAATATGTTATAAATCTCATTTAAATTAGGCTGGTCCGATTGTTCAACTAGGTCTGATTGTTTAGTTGAATTAAATAGTTCAATTGGATTAGATTGATAATTTGAATTAGATAGCAATTCCAATTCTTGAAAATCAATAAGTTGCGATGTATACCATACGGCCTGGAAAATCCCCTGTTATTGTATAGACAAGAAAGCTGGTGTTAAGTAAGATGTGATCCATTTATCGATATCAGGTGAAAATTCATAGCTAGCATTAGTGAGTGTAGAGCCTGTAATGGAATGAATCCAGTTTCTATATTGAATGAAAGTAGATGAATGACTAATTTGTTTATTAATAAATTAAAGATGTATTGCTATTCACAGAATTCTTTATGATAGCATTTTGACCTTCAACTCTCTGTGTTGACTGCATTCCTACAGTAAAAACTTTGGAAATGTAACATAAGGCCTATTTTTCTTTTTCATTAAACAAAGCACAATTAAGGTATGATGTAGCATCTGGGAACTTTATTAAAAGCTTGTTTTACAAATAATCAAATTGTTGAAAAGAAAGCAAATTACGCATTTGATACCAGTTCCTGGAAAACTCATTAAATTGTTTACCCAATTTGCCTTTCAGATTTTTAATTAAGTTTTGCCCGGCATGGTATATACAATGAACATGATATGTATTAGGCAAGATGTTGGTGATTGCAGCATTGACAGCAAGATCATTGTCTGTTATAATTGTTAAAGGTGCTACACTGGTATTTGTGACTAAAGTTTGTAAAATCTATTTATAGCTTTCAGTCGTTTTGTCATTTATAAAGGCTTGCCCTACCAAACAAGATCGGTTATTATTGTCCACCACCACAAAAAATCCAAGTGCTATTTTAAAACAGTTGGTTAAATAAGTGTTATCGTGCTAAACAACATCTCGATAACGTATATACAATTCATATTGTTTAGCCGATATCCAAAACAACAAAGTAAGAGAATTATTGGCAAAATCTACTCTCCAATTTACAATCTATCTGTTGTCTTCAGACTTATGTTCAAGAAGGTTATTAAGTAAGATAGCCGCTTCACATTCAATATAATTTTGCCATTTAAATGTTTGAATGGCGTTTGAAAGGTCCTGAGGCAAAAAAAAAGCATCCGGGTATTGTTTTGTCAACATTTGGTATTGTGTTCTCATATTTATATTTCCAGTCTCAGTCCAAAATTTAATGTTTTTTAGCATATCTTCAGAAAATACTTGATATTTTAAGGCAAATTTATTGGTTTCTTCAGTTATTAGGTGGTTGTTGTGATTCAAACAAACTGAATTAATTTTTAATATGCCAGTTGTCTTGGAACAACTAGCTCGAACTTGCTAGCGACACCCAGTACATTTGCTTCATGTCTGTCATTGATTTTCTGCTATATGAGTCTTGTTTATACTACTATAACCTTGATGTTCACAAACATATCGGTGGCTTTTACAAATCTCATTGCTATATTCTGACCCACGTATGACACTCACAAAATTTTGTAATTTGGTATAAAAAGATATAAAGCGGTTGAGTTCATCCCAACTACCAAATCTTTGCCCAACTGCTAGTACATCCACTGTTCTAATTAAATCACTCCTACTTATTATTTGAAATCTAATTAGAGGGCATTTAAAAACATATTTAAAGCAATATGAGTAGAAAACAATTTTAAAAAATATTACTTACTGCACAGCAGTATTTAAAACCTGCTCTTCGAAAGATTCAAAGCCATTTTCACTTGTTCTGGTTGAAATGTTGTTGCTTATTATTTGAAATTTAATATTAGAAGTGTGGTTGAAAATAATATAAGCAGAAAACGAAATTCAAGGTATGACTTACTATATCGCAATATTTGAAAATTGCTCTTCAAAAGTTTCAAAACCATCTTCACTTGTTTTGGTTTAAACAGTGTTTGGCATTTAGAAGCATACTTGAAAATGATATGAATAAAACAAACCCAAAAAAAGATGTGACTTACTGTACAATAATATTTGAAAATTGCTCTTCAAAGAGCACAAAGCCGTTTTCGCTTGTTCTGGTTAAATCATTATTGCTTATCAATTAGAGATTATTTGAAAGTGAACTTGAAAGTGTTATAAATAGAAAACAAAATCAAAAAAGAGGCTTGATTTACTATACTGCAATATTTGAAAACAGCATTTCAAAAAGCCCAAAGTTATTATCTTTACTTTCTATTTTATAAAAACGTAGCTCTAACAGAACAATTTTTAATTGATAATCCGCCACTCAACAGGTGCATGATTTTAGTAAAATGTGACTCAGATTACTATATAAATTTATTATAGTGCGAATGCTGCGATCGCGCAAGATAAACTTTTTTTCATACTAAGGTAATTGATCTTTTAACTTAAGAGACTTTTGTAAAGCTTGTCAAGATGCATCTAATGGTAGTTAAAGCGTCAAAATTGGGTTGGTAGATGCTGAGATATCTTTAAAAAACCTTTCTTTTACTATGTAAACTTCTTTAAAGAAGTTTATATAGTAAAAGAACTGTTTTTTAAAAATATCTTGACACCCACCAGGCCGATTTTGACGCTTTAACTACTATTAGATGCATCTTGACAAGCTTTACAAAAGTCTCTTAAGTCAGAAGATTAAATACCTTAGTATGAAAAAAGTTTACCTTGCACGATTGCAGCATTCGCACTAAAGTAAATTTATATAGTAATCTGAGTCACATTTTACTAAGATCATGCACCTGTTAAGTAGCGGATCATCAATTAACTAGTTTTTAGAAGCCAAGAGATATTAAAAATCAAGTCGCATGAAACTCAATTCAGTTTAAAAAGAAACTAACACCTAACAAGAAATGAAATACACAGAGAAGTCAAAGTAAAGTAAAAAAAAAACATGATTATATAAACTAACTGGCGTAAAACGAGATCATGAAAAGTTTAAAAAGAAACTATCTGATATAAAACTAAAAACTTCACCCAACAAGAAACAAGAAAATATATAGACAAGTCAAAGTAAGATAAAAAAAGTGTGAAAATATAATAAACTAGTTCGTAAATACAAAATTAATGAATAATAGCATTTTGTATTTAAGCAAAAAGAGATTTGATTTTATATGATCAAGCTTATATTTATTTTATATCAATATCTCATACATATGTTAGAATTTAATCAGCAAACAATGTCATATTGCTATTTATGTACGTTATATCATTGTATATACAAATAGCTTCGCAGCATTATCGTCATACATACAAATAGCCCTGCAGCATTATCGTCGTACATACAAATAGCCCCACAGCATTTGTGTAATCAAAGTAATGAGTGCAAAAATTTTTCTATACCCTACGAGTACATCTATATCAATTTATAAAATTTCGTATAAATTAATTTTAAAATTATATTTTTGAAAATTTTTTGTACTTAATTTAGTATAGTAATAAAAATTAATTTTTGCTAAAGATTTTTGATAAAATTATAAAGGGATTATATATATGTACCCAAAGGTACATGTACCTGTATTATATGATTTATAGATCGCCACTAAAATTCAAGATCAGGTGTAATGTTACACAATCAGAAAAATTCAAAACAAATGTTCATTTTGACAAAAATCTCTCATTACGCAAGAAATTGTATACTAAACCACCTTTTGTGTATTAATAAAAAGTTTTTCTTGAGTGATTTTACTATATAATATTCTAAATCCTAATCTTAACATAGTTATTACACTAACCCTAATCTAAACAATACTGGTATTACTGATTTTTTATATAATATTATATAATAAAAATAATGAGTACAAAAAAATTTAATGTACCCTACGGGTATAACTACATTAATTCAATTATAAAAATATAAAATTTTTAGATTATTTTAGTTCTAATTTAATTGTAAAAAAAAATATAATAATTTTTTAAAATAGTTTATATAAGCCTGTTTTAAGGTAATACAAGCCTAAATATAGTAAGTCTATTTCTATATTTGATATAGTAAATCATATATTTTTATTAATATCCTCTTATTATAAAATTATCCTCCTGTCACGAGTATCACTTACATTTTTACCAATTATTTTGCACGTGTGAAAATAAGATGGTATAAATGGTCACGTATCACATGCATAGGAAATTTATGATATTAATAATATATGATCAGATAATTATAATATACCACACTATCACGTTGTAAACTAATCTTTTGATTGGTTACCTGCAAATTGGTATATTATGATAAATCAAATATGTAACTATCGCAACATTCTTGATCATCTACATGATTGTCAAATTTGAAGATCGTTTAAAGGCAGATAGATATATAGTTATCATGTGATTTTTAATTAAAGTAATCAATTTTTAAAACTATAACCTCCAAATTTGTGACTATTGCAACATTCAATCTAAAATATTACATACTTTCTATCTAAACCACCTAATTCTGGTTTTATCTGTTTAACCATTTTTGATTAGCAGCATTTAAAAACATGAACAAATTGTGGGAAAATTTTTGATCAGCCTAATGATTTTTATTTTAAAAAAAATTGTAATTATTGCAACATTTGTATGTTTGAATGATTAATTAGTGAAAATCATATTTTTATAATTAACCTGTAAATTATCATCAATTCTTTTATTTTAATGAGAAATGAGAGAATATACAATTAACTGTAATCATTTAATTATTCAAATAAGTTACCAGGGTGAGTATGAAGTTTAATTCGATTCGCTTTAACAATTGTGTTTCAAGACATTAATTAACCATAATCATTTAATTGTTCAATAAATTACAAAGGTGAGTATGAAGTTTAATTCGGTTCACTTTAACAATTGTGCTTCAAGAGAATGTGTGATTAACTATAATATTTAATCGTTTAAATAAATTACAAAATGGGTATAAATTTAATTTGACAAATATATTTCAAGACATTGATTAATTGTAATTTTTCAATTGTTCAAAAAAATTACCAGGGTGAGTATTAAGTTTAATTCGATTTGCTTTAACAATTGTGTTTTAAGACATTGATTGATTAACGTTAATTATTCAATTATTCAAATAATTACTGGGGTGAGTATAAATTTAATTTAGTTCGCTTTAATAAATGTGTTTCAAGATATTGATTAACCTTAATTATTTAATTGTTAAATAAAGTATCAAGGTGAGTACAAAATTTAATTCGATTCACTTTAACGATTGTGTTTCAAGAAATAGATTAACCACAATTATTCAATTATTCAAATAAATTACTGAAGTGAAAATGAAGTTTAGTTCAATTTGCTTTAACAATTGTATTTCAAGACATTAATTAACTATAATTAGTCAATCGTTCAAATAAATTACAAGGGTGAGTACGAAGTTTAATTGATTCGCTTTAACAATTGAGTTTCAAAACATTGATTAATCAATATTCAAATAAATTACCAGGGTGAGAATAAAATTTAATTCGAATGGCTTTAAAAATTGTGTTTTAAGAGAAAATAAATTACTAGGAGTGGAAATAATATAACTATGTTATTTCCACTTAGTCTAGGTTATTCCCACTCAGGTGTGACGACAGAAATGCATCACCGTCGTCAGTATTGTGACAACAGAAATGCATCACCATCGTCAGAGATATATTAGTATTCGCTCTATTATTCGAGTGACGAATAATTCACGCTTGCATCGTCATTCGAGTAATAATTGGTTCACGAGTTCGTCGTCACAGTTGGGTACCCACAACCTATAAAAAAATATGACGATGAATTTGTAGTCATCACACTTGGATACTCCACGATTTATAAAAAATATGATGACAATTTTACGTTTACGTCGTCACACTTTGGTAGTAGCCAAAAGTATAATTTTTATAATATATATCTTTCTATAATAATTATACCTTTGACTACTACCGCGAGTACGCTATGTTTTGGATACTACTGAAAAATTTCACGCTTGTGACATTGGGGATATATTAGTATTCACTCACTTTGCCCCACCATTCAAGTGACAAACGATTCGTGCTTGCATCGTCAGAAATATATTAGTATTCGCTTTATCATTCGAGTGACAGATATCCGCTAACATGTATATAGTATGGGTATACTATCTGTCACTGAAAAATCTTTGGTGACAGGTTTATTATTAAATTTTGACTTTAAATTCTTTTTTATCTTGTTCTTATATACTGTCACCAAAGTCACTGAAAATAAAGTAAAATTCTAAGAAAAAAAAAAAAACTTTTCTTATGGTATACCTTTGATATATACCCGATATATATTATATATATATATATATATTTTTTTTTTTTTTTGAGTTAAGGAGACCTCTTTGGCCTGAAAGCTTTTATTAGGATTTGAAACGGTGTTTTATAC